GCCTTCAATACATTCCAGTGTTGTATATTCTTTCTCTACCCAAGTCTTAAAAATCTAAAAACGGGTCTCATAATTGCCCAACACATTCTTTAATTTACATGCCTGAGTTTCATACTTAGCTTTGTTTGGTGTGGGCCTTCCAGACTAAAGAGCCGGAGTAAAGACTGTGGTTATCCGTCAGTGGGCTTTAGCTTAGAAGTAATTGCAGTAATGTTTCACTTTAGACTTAGTGGACATTTTTCTTTTAATGATGTACATGTTTGTAGGCTGCAGCCCAATCTTGATCTTATTTTTACATTAGCATGTTAGCTTTTCTTATTGCTAGCATTGCAAACCTCACACCTTCACTGAAAAAACCCCCTGTATCATCAGACTGCAGAAATAACATGTTTCATGCTGCAGAATGTGTAAACCAGATGGCAGTATGGAGTGCATGCATGCACTTCCATACTGTGTGGAAAGCTGGCACCCAGCCAGCCCACTTTCCCTGTTCTCCGTCTCTAACCTCTGAGAGGCTCATTTGATATGCTTGACTGCCCTGCTAAGATTACACATCGTCTGCACCCCACGTTTGGTCCTTCTGTCCGACCTTCATACTCAGTGTAACTAAACGACACTGAAAATCAGAGTGAATCACAGCATCTCTTTTTTTTTAATTATTATTTAGTTTTGATTAATATGAGAGAAAATATTTGTGGCAAAAAGAAAAATAAATAAACAGCTGAAATCACACACACAAAAAACTTTTTAAATATCTATACTTCCTTTTCTATTTACAGTGAGGACTACAAGTCCCATTTCCCCAACAGAAACCTGCAAGCCTTCAGCACACGCCCCCTTCTGGTACAGCCATGTCACTACGCCGGCGATCCTGAGTGGGTGAGTGACACAGAGACCTCCACGCTGTGGGACGATGACTCAGTAAGGACTGATTGGAGGGGCTCCCATAAAACACTGAAGGGGGCTGCACCACCGCCTGAGATGCTGTCGGCTTCCTACAGGGACGAACTTTAGTGCCGGGACGGTGGGAGGTCAGAAAGACGGACGCTTAGGGGACAAAATGATGTCAGACTTCATTTCAGTCGCTTTGATGAGGCAGACATGCTCATTGTCCCAAGAGCTGGACTTTTTCCATTTTTATTGTTGTAGAGGGTGTGTGGTACTCCATGGAGGATCTTTGGGGTTATTTATTGACTCACTCTGTAGCAGCATGCTTTAAATGTTATGCAGAAACTTGCACAACAAATTTCCTCAATCAATTCAGAGTTTTTAAAGTTTTTATTGTTACTTCTTCTTTGGTGGGTGTAAAAGAAATTGTGTGTTTGATGTATGCCTGTTGGTGACTGTATATCTCAGAGCGCTTGACCACAAGTCTGTCCAGAAGTCAGAGGATTTTTTCCAGGTACTTTTTTAATTCCAGTGGAACTGTTGACGGACAGAACTGCACCTACTGCTAAGCTCTACATGGTAAAAGTTTCCTCAGCGGTAACAGTGTCAAAGCTTCGACATGTGAAGGTTCAGAACTCTCATGAGTGATTCAAGACTGTATTCATCAGATATTGTGCTTATACTCACACATACTGAATGCTACAGATAGTTTTTAGTAAGTATTTCTTAAAAAGGTAAAGTATTGGATAGATTTGGCTCCCTGTTGTTTTATTTACAGAGCTGAATGGGCAAATTAAACTAAACAAATCATGGATTACCGTATTTTTTTAATATTTACAAAAAAAGGAAAATGTTATATTCTTAAAAATTGTTCAATTTTAACGTGATCTGGAGGCATAGCGGTTGTTATTTTATATTAAATAAAACATCAGAATAATTTAAGGCACTCAAGATTTTCTAAATTTTTTTTATTTTTTTTTTAATTTACAGGAAACACAGATGTCTGCTGAGGTTAGAAGTGTTTATTTTTTACGTTAAAAGGCCTTGATATGGGTTTAGGGAACTACATAAAACATTTACATTAGCAGTTATGAGCCATTTGAATTACATAAATGAGGTTTGACTAAACTTCTACATTTATTTTCATAAACATGTGTAGTGACCTATTTTCTGTTTCAATTATTTCTGCTAATGCATGTGTTTTAATTTATTGAGTCATCGATGATGTGTCTTACTGATGAATCAAGACTTATTCTTCTGGCTGTTTTTTGTTTGTTTGTTTGTTTTCATGTTTTAATGTGGGGTGTATGGAACATTTGTCATTTTAAAGTGACAAACCAGTCAAATAAAAATAATAATAAAAGAAGACTTCAACATTAATGTAGTTGATGAAGTTTTCATTCGGCTTCCCATGCTGTACAGGCTCGGATTTACCACAAGAGGGCGTCATTTCTCAAGTATCAGATAGTCCAAGCAGTGGTTGGAGTTTATGAGAAAGTACCGGGTTTGTAACTTTGTAACTTGGTTTGTTCTTGAATTATTGCGACTACAGTCTGTCTGAGGCTTTTTTTTTTTTTTTTTTTAAAGACATGTATGATTTTGAAAAGAGTATTTTGTCAAACAGGTTATAAAGTTTAAGATAATGTCTGCTGAGGTTATAGTGATGATTTTATGAGGCTAAAAACTTCGCTGCTCCGGTTGACTACCAAACTACTAGAAATGTCTGCAGTTTCCAGAACTACTTGTGTGTACATGCACTGTGGTAGAACAAGTGTTAATAGGTATGTCTCACTTTAAATAATTTCAAAGGATCCACTAAAATAAAATTCACAACAGACAACAGCAACAATTCAAGTTATCCAGACATACAAAGAAAACAAAGCGAATTAGTCTTGGACACAGGTACAGAAGTGTATTAAAAACATTGTGAAAAAGCCTTTTTTGGTAGTGAAAGCTTCAGAATGTCTCCTGTGTGGAGAAACCAGTGACACGCATTGCTCAGCTGGAATTTTGACCCGTTCTTCTTCAACAAGCTGTTTTCAAACGCCAAAGATTGTGAGTCCTTTGTATGGAGATATTTAGTCGTTGCCATGGATGTTTGCTTAGGTGGAAGTCAGGTGACTGACTTGGTCATTTCTAGCAGTGTTAAGTAAAACATGTATTTAAATTACTGATTTTTGAAGTGTCATCATCTTAACATGAAAATCAACTAATCTATTTGACCGAAAAGGGGGAAATAAAACTCTATTTTCTTACATTTAAATCAGGGTGATAGTCCTAAAGAGTTAATAGAGTCTTACTAAGCACATGATCTGATCAGATCTCTACACACGTTAACAAGCTCTCTGGTTCTTGTGACTTGATTTATCTGAAATCAGAATGAAAGAAGCCAAATTGAAGCGTGGTTCACAGTGTACAAATTTTACTCCTGGACTTGTTTACATGGCCAAAAGTACACAAGCTTATCGAGCTGTGACTTGTGTTTAAAAAGAAACATACATATTAGTCATGAGGAACTCAAAGATTGCTGAAGCTGCCTTCCTTTCTTAGATTTGGATTTAAAGCAGATCTCACACATCTATCGAGAAAATAAGGTTACAGGCAGCAGTAGCTTCTACACTCAGCTTCTGTCCTGTTCAAAGCTGCACAAACTAGACAGAACCTCCCGTCATAGGAGGGAATCTAAACTCCGCAACTATTGGCTGCTGGTTAGGAGGCGTGGACTCAGAGGGCCAAAACAGGCAGACCGCAGCAACAGGGAATAAGGTTTCATAATGTGGACATACTAAAGTAACCGGCATTTCTTGTCTTCCTAACTTATTTTCATATGTTCACACGCATGTAGAGACATGTAGAATTTGTTTTAAGTGCTTGATAGAAAAAAACGCATCAGTCAAGTTGTTTCAGCCCCAGCATACACACACTGCTTCATCTGTTTTACCTGGCTGGAAGCATAGTTTTACTAACTAACCTCGGGTTCTTCTTATTTTGAATCAAGGAGATTGGATTTCTGTGATTAAGACCATAAACTCAGAAGGAAAGCCCGTATTTGTAATCACTTAATCATTTGGGTTTGAACACTTAACAGTGAATGTTTGTACTTTAATGTTAGAAATGGACAGAAAATGAGTGAAGTAATACAGAAATGTGTATCTACAGAGGTTTTCCATTTTAAAACAGGGATTGTAGATAATAACTTTGTGTCTGTATGTGTAATGGGGTTTACTGTAGTCTACTTCATTAAGTCTTTGTGCCTGAAGGAATTTGATAAGCAGCTGCTCACCCCACATCTAACTAAAACACATATATAGAAATTAAACAGGATGGAAAGCAAGAAGACATTTTGTGTTTTAAACATTTGTACAGTCTATGTGGCCTTTATCTAAAGTTTAAGAGGACATCTAGGTTTTCAGAGATGTACCATTCTGTAATTTGATGATAGACTGAAAAGTGCTTGTGTAAGATGTTCACGTCTTTGAATGTTGGTTCACAAAATAAACCTGCTAAAAAACTTCACCACAAATCTATTCCTGGTCTGTCTGTTGCGTTCCTTGATCTTTCTGTTTGTTCTCAGATGTTATCTGACAAACCTCTGAGGCCTCAAAGAGCATCTGCATTAATACTGATATTAAATTACAGATGTGTGTACTCTTATATGTCAACAAACTTCTGAGGGCAAATGATCGCGGCAGATTTTCTGGGGTATCAGAGGTAAAAGGGGTTTAATACCAAAACCAAACCTTTTCATTCCGTTTTAAATTAATGCACTATTGTGTTAGTGCATCACACAAAACGTGGAAACCTAGCTGCTGGAAATTAATGTTCATTAAAGCAATAGCAAAACCATTAGGGTTTTAAGAAGTGACAAGACTTTACAAATTCCCCTGCCAGCTTCTGAGATCTTTATTATTAATGATTGCTTTTTTTATATATATATTTCCACATACTACATTTTCATGTTTCTATAGGTAATAAAATGAGTATTTCGAAGATGACAAATAACCACAGACTTGCATAAATTTGAATCGATAAAATGAATCAATAATGTTAAAGTCTATGTTGGTTTGCGTCTGTTAAAAGATTGCAGTTCGCATGCAGCCTCCAGGGTGCCAGCCCTGATCTCTCCCTGCAGAACAGTTGAAGCCAGCTCAGCACAGTGGGCTGATCTCGGCTAAGAGGGTGAAAGGAAGAAGGAGGGATTGCTGAAGGCAGGGACTTACAGCTGCTGTCCCGCTACAGATCGTGCTATCTGACAGCGGTGCTCTCCAACCCACGCTGCACCACCTCTGTACCGCTTCGCTTTTTTTTTTTTTGGTAACTATTCGGCCATTTTTACCCACCAGCCTTTTTTGCACATATCCCTTTCTTTTTACCCAATTCCCCCCCCCCTCCTCGCATCGACTGTTTTTGTTTTCTTTTCAGGGGCTGTCCTTCGGACTCGACTGTAAGTTTTCCACGTGGAAACCCAGACTGCAACGAAAAGTTAAGAGTGCGGTGCATCTCGCTGCTGTTGTGTTTGGACTCCATGCTCTGTTTGCCACGTTTCTCCAATTACTGCCGTTTAGTAACATGCAGTTCCCGTTTGACAGCCTTCTCTACCTGCTGTGTCGCTTGCTTACACATTAACTTGCGCTTAATTTGAAAGTGTAAAGTGAAAAAAATATATATAGGTCAAACTTTGTTGCAAAAGTTCTTTTAAACTCATTTAAATTGAGCTTGCAAATAAGCTTCCTTAAATCAGTTTTTCTTGTGTGTGTGTGTGTCCTGTCATTTTATGTTTTTTTTTTTTTCTTTTCTGTGATATTGCTGTTGTACTTCTTAGCTTTCTGTGCCCTTAATGATGGATGGCTGGGTTTATACTGGAGCAGCCCAGTTCCAGGCACCTGGTCCTGCATTAATTTGAACTCTGCTAATGTCTGCCACCTCATATTTATCTTGTATGATAATTACCGACCCGGCGTGTTAGTATGTCACCTTTTAATCACTGGCTGTGATAATGGACCACACTTTAGGTTTCAATCTCTCTATTCAGGAATTCAGCTCAGATAGCAGCTTCATGCTGCCTCTGACATGTATTGGAGTGTTATAACACACCTGATAGGTTGGTCTTTCCTCGACGTTTTTAACAAACAAAATGCAATATGTAACTTTTTATAATAAGATGATTTTATTTAAGTAAAATATTGAATTGAGGCATAAATCTATAAAAACTACATCCAGTTGCAGGAAGACCTTTCTCTATATTTTCTAGTCAGCATGAGAATCTCATGAGAAAAAAAAATATAATATTGTTAGAAATATATTTAATACTGTTCTAATAATGTTTTTTACTTTTACTGTTATTTTTGATACAAAGTCTTATGTAAACATCTGGAGTAAACACTTGCTAAATGTATTTACTTTTGATTTATTTTTCATGTTGCTGTATTATTCTGCTGTCTTCTCTCCATAAAGCCACACAAAACTAACAATCTAATATTAGCTAATTAATAATTCAGGCAGACTATGCTATTTTTTTTTTAATCAGATATTTTTCCAAGAAGCCAAATGGGGTGGGAATGGAGTTTACAACTTTCTTTCAGCCAGCTGACTGGCAGTATGCAGCAGCATGTGTGGGATGGATTGTAAAGTATGTATCCGTGTTCTATTCAGCATGAGAAAACTTCCTCTGGTATCTTATTAAAAGTAGTAATTTAAATCATAGGAACGACATAACAAAACCAGTTTGGGGTTTTCAGACTGTTATCCCTGTTTTACCGTCATAGCAGAAACTGACCCATTGTGAATTGATAGAACTAAAATTAGTTGTAAAGATATTTTATTTTGTAAAGAAAAATGTCTTATTGGGGTTTTCAACCTGGTCTGTTGTGTTCACAGAGGTGATGGCCTTCATTGGGCGTGCAGTCCAGCGCCTTGTATTGGCAGCGCGTCCCCCCGTAGCCCCGCTGTGCCGGACAAGCTCTCGGTCTTACAGCACTGAACACACCAGTGAAAAGAGCGTCCCCTATGAGAAGACACTCAAACAGGAGGAAGGAGCCTCCACAGGACCCACTAAGCCTTTACCAAGGTTAGCTAGAGAGCTTAACATGTTAAGATGATACTTCAGCCAGTAAATTTTGCAGTTGAAAAGTTAGTTTCGTGTTTCTGTTTAGCAGGTATTCATGAAGGTTGTTTCAGCTCTGGATATTCTGTCTTAATACAAATAAATATCAAGGCTGATTTTTTTTTTTTCTTAAAGACTCAAACTGTAGATTTAGCATTTTTTTCAACCCAGCTTTAAAAGTTGCTTCCTGTTCCCTCAGGTCAGCTGATGTGGTGGTGATCGGAGGAGGTAGCATCGGCTGTCAGACCGTCTATCATCTGGCCAAAATGGGGATGACCAACGTAGTTCTGCTGGAGCGAGACAGACTGACTGCTGGCACCACCTGGCATACGGCCGGTAACTACAACAGAATTAATAAAAAATGTTGAACTAAAGTCTTAGGTTGTGTAAGTAAGAGTTTCTGTCCCAGATTAGGGTTTTGTCTAGAAGATAATTGTCCCTGTTCAAATCAATGCGCATTCAATCACACACCTCACATCAGACTGTTTTCTCAGGCCTTCTGTGGCAACTCCGTCCCAGTGACGTGGAGGTGGAGCTCCTGGCCCACACCAGGAACGTGATCAGCAAAGACCTGGAAGAGGAAACGGGCCTTCACACTGGCTGGATCCAGAATGGAGGACTCTTCATTGCTTCCAACAAGCAAAGACTGGATGAATACAAGCGCCTCATGTCGGTATGGACAGCGACTGCTTGGTTCTTGATTTCCTGTAATATAAAGTGCCATGCACTAATGGATCCTTGTAATAAGTGTTTTATTAATATAAAGTATTTGATTTCATAGGCTCACATACAAACATTGAAACAAAATCCAGACAGAAATTTTCATCCGCACTGTTTCCCAACAGCAGTACAGATAGATGACTTATAGAAATTGATTTTTTTTAAACACATTGAAGTGACAGGCTTAAAGGTTTTCACCATAATGGGCATGGTTCACCAGAAATTAGGGGTGAGTAAATGTCCTTCTCAAGAACTTCAGATAAAAGATGCTGAAACAGATATGAGGATAGCGAGTTTATGTCCTGTGGTCGTTAGAGAGCCTTAATAATTTGAAATAGCTTTTTATAGTTTAATTATATCCAGACATTTATAGTACAAAACCTAATCTGAACCATTTCATGCAGAATAATCAGTTTCTATAAAGACGTTAAATGCCCAAGGCTATATGTCTCAATAAGTGGTTTACTATTCATATATTAGATTTTTTTTTTTTTTTTGGAATAAGGCACAGTTTCTGTTTTTGTGCTTAAACTCTAAAACAGTTTATATATAGCCCATTATGTACCCAGTCACACACCACATATTGCAGCATATTATCTATTTAATAAAGATCAAGACAAAAATGTCCAGAATCATCAGGGTGTGATGAATTTATTTATTTTTATTATGACTGAGTGTTTACATATTTTTCATCATTACATAACTGTATCAGAACTAGTTATGGGCAAATTTAAATAGGTAGCTTTATAGCAACATTCCCAAGCTTTACACTGGATTTTATTAATCAGAAAACTACCCTGGAAGTTGGAAAACACATAAAACATGAATTCAAAATCATAGAAAATAAGTCAATTGGCATTTGTGTTTCAGCTGGGTAAAGTTTATGGCATCGAGTCCTACGTTCTGTCACCTGCGGAGACTAAGGACCTTTATCCCCTCATGAATATTGACGATCTGTATGGAACGCTGTATGTTCCCAAAGATGGCACCATGGACCCTGCAGGCACCTGTACCACCCTGAGCAGAGCTGCTACAGCCAGAGGAGTCACGGTAATTTGGGCTAATCTCTGTTGTGCTGTTTTTTTTTTTTTTTTTTAAAGGGAGATTTTTGTACAAAAATGTCAATTTACAAAATCATGCAAACACTGCTGACTTTCATTTGTTCAGCAGACAGATGGTGGCACCTTTCACAAAGCCGCAGAAGATTACTGCACTTAGAGTTCTTGATTGAAGAACACTAATGGAAAGTTTAGCGGAAAGACAAAATGAAAATGACACACAAGGAACATACTCCTTGCTTTATTATGCAATTCTGCTGCCTTAATAGAATTGTAATAAAGCCCATTCAAGAGTTTGGTGGAGATTCACAAAATCTGGACTGCAGCTGGAGAAAGGGCTTCATGATTCACCACTCACGGATTCATGAAGCCCTTTCTCAAAACTCCTACAAAAATCTTACAAATTAAATAAAGGACAATGACTGACCAACTTTAAACAGTTCTGGATGTCAAATGTCTTGAGGTATTACTTTACTGCACTTTCCTCTCTGAATCAGGTGATTGAGAACTGCCCAGTGACCGGTATCCAAGTGCGAACGGACGACCTTGGGGTCAAGAAGGTTAAGGCGGTGGAGACACCTCATGGAGCCATTGAAACTCCGTGTGTGGTGAACTGCGCAGGTAAGACTCAGAGGAACTTCACCTATCCTTTTGACAATGTAGCACGTTTTTATGTTGCTTAGAAAAATGTCAACACATTTGGACGAGGTTAAAGGAAGCAGCATTGGAGAATTTTGATTCTCCAATGCTGCGTAGCATTTCGGTAAAGTTTGTTACTTACAGGTGTGTGGGCCACCAGACTTGGTGAGATGGCTGGAGTCAATGTTCCTCTTATTGCCATGCATCATGCTTATGTGGTGACAGAGAGGATAGAGGGCATACAGGTGAGATTTCTATTAATTATTATTTGCTTTGGTTCACCAGACATACTGTTACAAACACTGGGCCACTTGGTTTGTAAGTTGAAGCTTTCCCATGTATCAGGTTAACATGACCAGCAGGGGTCACTATGACCAAATAAATTACTGCTCCTAATTTTCCAAGCTGTTGTTGGCATGTTTGGAGGAGAGAGAGAGAGAAAAAAAAGAGGTTAATTTGTATCTATTATTATTTGTGCTTGCTTTGGCTATGCTTGTTTACGCTACATAGCACCCGAGAGACATGAAATGTAAAATGCTTCAATGTATCACTGCAGTTTCCGTCCATCTTCTGCTTGTTTAATGCAGTTTGTGTTCATATATCCTCTTCCCCGAGAGGCTGGTGGTTTTAGAGTGGGCTGTCAGCACTGTCTTGTGTTATATAGTTTAAGAGAAGCTTAACAAGCATTACCTCTCCATCATGCACACAGACGTCAGCCCACCCACTAAACAGATGTCAGGGAATCTGTTCCCAGTGTGTGCAACTTGTCAGGTCAAGCGCTTCACGCTGTCCATGCGTCTGTATTTGTCATTGTGAGGCTGCTGTGGAGGTCTTTGTATGTTTCTTTTTTTTTTTTTTTTAATCTGTGTGAGTGTTACAGTGTTCAGTATTGATCACATGGAGCTGCCACACTGAGCTGAGTGCAGAGGAGGGAGAGGACAAAGGAGCAGTTTGGCTTCCGTTATTTGTCGTGAGCGGCTTTTAAAATGTCAGCTGGCTTGCTGGTATTTTGGTTTTGTACCCAAAAAGTCGATGGAGTCTGGGAAGGATGAATACAGACCAGACGGTTTTGACACGAAAAACGATTTTGCAGAAAGATGCTCTGGCACACGAGAGTTCAATACATCTGTCCAGTTTTAGAATGTGATGTCAGGAGCTTTGAGTTAAAGTGTAAAACAATTTGAAGGTCGATTTGATATACGTTTCCAGTGTTGTACATGTTTAGTCTGTGCAATAAGTGGTTCTGAGATCAGCTCCCACAAAAACAAACCAGACTTGTTCATATTGAAAGTTTTCAACCTAAAACATTGGAGCCAAATTGCCAAATGTAATCCTTACTCATTAGAAATAGTTTTATTTTTCTCCTTCTCTCTCTGCTCTTTGGTCCTGCTCTGCATCCATAAGGCCTCTTCTTTAACTCCTCTTGAACTTGGGGTCATAGTTCAAATATTATTTGAGTTGTAAAAACAATATTTTGTTATCATGGTTTTGCGTCATAGCAAGTCATATAACACACTTTGAACAATCTTGGATGTGCGAAATCCTGTTGCAGTGCTTGCAGCTAGCATAACATTACAGACACTACAACTGCACCAAGTATCAGGAGTTTAGTTTTAATGCCATTACAAGTTTATTTTGTTCATATTGGGTGTATCACACATTTTCTGAGCTAGTTTGCTTTGTTTGCATTTGGCAAAACTGTTCACTGCAACTGGACTGCTGTTGAGACTTTAAGTCACTTAATAACAAAGGAGGAAAATTGAATAAAGATTTTTTCCTTCATTGTTTATTATCCGTATCGAATATTGACTAGTACAGCTTTAGATGCTTTCGTCTCCTTTATTAAGTGTTAATATTTTCAGTATTACCTACTAGAATGTACCGTAATGAGGAAAACACACAATAACTCTAAAGACTAAACAATTAAGTGGGAATTATAAGTGAAAACAGTTTACATCAGATGCCCTTGGCTTGCATCTGAGAGTTCTTCCGACTAATTTCAGCTCTAATTACTGAATCCTTTAACTTTTCTTTTCACTTCTTGCAGAACATGCCAAATGTCAGGGACCATGACGCATCGGTGTACCTGCGCCTCCAAGGTGATGCTCTGTCTGTGGGTGGTTATGAGCAAAATCCCATCTTCTGGGAGGAGGTAACCCTAAATATTATGCATTGTTCTTAGATTCTGTCTGGAAAGATCTCGCATCTCGCAAATGGAAAAGCCTGCGATATGCAGTAATGATGGTAAATGTGTGATTTCCATCAAAGTAATATTAAAAAAAAAAAAAAAGTTCATATCTTTATACTTTGGGTTCGCAGCAGACATACAGACATAATGTGTGCGCTCTTCAGCTACTGGAGTTCAACACTTTGTTTCCATTTTAGCAAGGTTTTATTGAAAAACTTGCTTTTGACTGAAGTCTGCTTTTTTAAAGTGTGAAACAACTTCTTAATTAATGACTTGACAATATCCCAAAACTATTTCTGTTGCATTAAGTAGCAAGTGTTACCACACAGTTGCAGTCAGACAGAGCCGCAACGTGTGGCTACTAAATAATTAGCTAATGTGTGTTGTAGTCCTGGCAGTTTATTGTAATTTGCATATTATGTATAGGGATTGTTTCGCCCTATTGTAAACTAATAGTGAATTGTAGTATTTATATTTTGAAATGGTCAAAAAAGACTGATAACTCTAATTGTTTTCACATTTTTATACGAACAACTGAAGCAAGTTATAATTTCGGTTTATTACATTTTTTTTTTAGCAAATAAGACAACTGTTTCCATAGCAACACAAACTAAAGGCTCAGGTGTCTGTAGGAACTTGTTTGTAGGTGTTTTAACATGTAACCGAATCTAATTGGTTTCCATTTTTGGTACTAAAAGTGACAAAATTAGATTTTCAAAGTTTCTCTTTCTTTCCCTGTAATAAAAACCAACCCAGTGAGGGAAACAAGGTTGTTGTCCACAAGAACTGTCTTTAACAAGAGCACAACATACTTTCCAAAGATCAGTAAACTCGTGTGATTTTAATGATTTTTCTTTGATTCGCCCAGAAAAGTTTACTCTCTTCACCTTTTTGCGTCAGAGATGGCCCTCATCGAATTATTTATTTCAAAGTATTTCTTCTAAAAATTTTAAATTTCAATAAAGCCAGTTGAGAAATAAACCGATTCTAGAGGGGTTAGCTTTTGTTTTGCCTATGAACTAAGAAGTGTTTTTCTCTATTGGATATGTTCTGTAACATCAGAGGGAACAAAGCGGTGTCAGTGTGTCTTTTGCACATTTATGTTGGATTTAGCCCCTCACTCCCTACAAATCTCTGGTTCTTCAAAGCAACTTAATCCCGCGACAGGAACATTCACAATTACACGGAAGACATTAAAAAGACGTCTCTTTTTTCAGGGCCTTGATGATATCTTCTTGCTTCTTGCTCGACCTCCTCAGCTTCTTCCATTTCTGCAGCCTGCCAGTCTGCATATTCCTCTGTGGTTTTTATGTGTGAGAAGATTTCTTTGTGCGGTGGCAGCTTCTTTTGTTCTCGTTTGGTAGCTGAGGGTTTCTTTGATGTCTAAGGCGGATGGAGAGGGGGAAAAAAAAAGGAGGCAACACAGAAAGGAGAATTAGTGGGAAAACAGTGAGAATCGATGCAGAGCGTGATGATAAGCAGGACCGATGGGTCGGAAGGGACTTGGAAAGCTGTGCTGCTCCCCAGATGCTCCAACGGAGTTCAAATATGTTTGATAAAACTGCTGCACAGAAAAAAAAAAAGCAGGCTTACTAAATTCCTTTTAGATGATCTAAGTTGACATGATCTATGTTGGATGCGAGGTGATTACTGCTTCTATGCATACACAATAGGCACTGAAGGTTTAGTGCAGCAAGTGAGTTGGAGAGAAGCAAAAAGATGAAGCTCAACTGCTCTCTATTGAGTAAGACGGGGATTCGAACATGCTAATCAGTTGGACTTTCTTCTTGGGTAGCCAGGATGTGGTTGATTTGTGGGATCTCGTTAAAAGGACTTTAAATTACAGGAAAAGTACAACGTGGAATTTTAGACATTTTAAAGCTGTAACCTTTTGACGACGTGCCGCGCCTTCACACAGGTTACAGATCCATGGATCCTAGGTTGAGGGAAATTTAAACTCTGCACCAAATTGAATCGTTATTCATCTTGAGGAGAAACTTTATTCACTGTGCCGTTTGGGTGATGTCTCAGGCAGTAGGGAGAATCAAAAGTATTGTTTTGGGGCTATAAAAATGGAGAGGTTTCACATTTCTTTTGCTCGCTAAAATTTATTTGAGTTCATATTTGGTACGAGAAAAATACAAAATGGACCCCCCACCCAAAAAAACAAAAAAAAAAACAAAACTAATTTTCTGTTTCCATTTTTCATCTTTGACTTGCTTGCTGTCATGGAGTTTGGATTTATTCCCAATGTTTCCTAATTTCCCAGGTGTCAGATAAGTTTGCCTTCAGCCTGTTTGACCTGGACTGGGACGTATTTATGCAACATATCGAGGGAGCTATAAATAGAGTTCCTGTTCTGGAGCAGACCGGTATCAAGTCCACTGTCTGTGGACCAGGTACAAACTCACACACTCTCGCACATAATGATTTATCATGGACTCATTGCAGAGTCCATAGTAAATTTGTTTAGGCAAGTAGTAAAGTGGACCGTTAGCAGCTGTTGGATTCTTTTCATTACAGATGAGGATTAATTGGTGTTAAGTTCCTGATTCGTCCTTTTTAAGCTTCTAAGCAGAGAGGCCTGACAATTTGAACCAAAATAGGAGAGTAGGAAACTTCACATTAAAGTAGCAACAGCAGAATAAAACAAAGGCTTGCTTAAAATGATTTATTTAATAAAGTGATTACCAGCACTAGTCCTGAAGGGCCGATGTGCTGCAGATTGTAGATGTGTCCTTGCTGAGATACACCTTATTAAAATAGCTGAATTACTTCCTCAGCATATCACCTTGGTCTGCAGAGTTCTGTTAATGAACCATTCTTATAGCTCAGGTGTGTTGACTCATCAGGGAAACATCTAAAATATGCAGCACACCGGCCCTTGCCCTGGTTAACCAGAGCTTTGTGAAAATGGCAAAATACGATGAAATACCTTTTATTTTATGTTTTATTTTATGTGTAAACATTGCATCCATACATACTGTCCCATGTTTGTCAACAATTTAACTAATCGTCCATCAGTCCATCTGTAATTGCACGATTTAAGCCAGTCCACTGGAGAAATATATACTATAAATTCATAATCCACTTTTAAATTTATGCTTAATAAAACAGGCCACAATAGACAGAAAACTGGGTGTGGAAAAATAGCAGAATTTTAACTATGTAAAAATGTCAACTCTGTGGTTTTTACCAGAATCTTTCACCGCTGACCATAAGCCGCTGATGGGAGAAGCACCAGAAGTTCGAGGTTACTTCCTGGGCTGTGGCTTCAACAGTGCTGGTATGTGCTGCATCAATTTAAAGAAACAAGAAGAAAAGGTATTTTTCTAAACTTCACCTTAAAGTTAACCGTTGAAATATTTGATGCGGAGCTTTACCTGGAGAAATCTGAAATGACGCATGAAAGGCTGAATAAACTTTTTTAAGAGCGCAAACGGGTAAGCAGGAAAAACGAGGTGAAATGTTTGGATGCTTTTAACAATCTTTGACATGGACTTATATCTCTGTGTACGTGGGCCAAGGCACAAACAAATATTAGAGAGGACTTCATAGACCACATACACAGTCTTGTTCATGCACAAGTCACTCCATTACTGCACTGAGCCTCTGACATTAGCCCTGGAAAAATATCAGTATCTAAGAAGTGTGTGACAGAGAGAGGAGGCGTAAAGGCTGAAGTAATCAGCAAGAGCTTTAATAGGCAATTGAAAGAAAGCTTTTTCTCTGCAGAGAGCCGTGGGGTCAAGCACACAAGATGTTCCGACAAAAGATTGGGGGGTTGGAATAAAGTTGAGTTCTGAGTGGGCCTCAGTAAAGTGTTGTCACATATTACATAATACTGTGACCTTTTGGCATATTAATATCTGGTTCTGTCCATTAACCTGAACATTATGTCTAGGTAAGGCTTTGTCAAGTACTATTCTCCTTTGGGGGGGGTGGGGGGGGATTGTACAGCTCTTGAAATTGTTTTGTTTAAAATCTAGAAGTGGTTTGAAGTTGAGATTTGTATGGAGATGTTTTCCCCTCTTTTAAGGTACTGCTGTCGCAGTGATCTGTTTCCTGTTATGAGAAAACATGTAAAAGTCATCCACATGTACTGGGACCTGTGGTAAACATGGCAAAAAAAATCTTAAAATAAAACTAACTCCATCAGTAAAATGAAACACAATACAGGGGCCGACTTTGTAAAAATGCTTTTTTTGCGTAAACAAAAAAAGCATTTTTTTGTTTTTTTTTTGTTTTTGTTTACCCAAATCTAATATCACCAATTCTTAAGGAAAAATAAATCATTTTACACAGGCACCCTGGAAAGAAAAGGGAAGGAAAAAATCGAGTTCTGGTGTGAGTGGAAGCAGAAGCACGAGGGCTTACAAGCAGACACTCGCACGTCAGTGTGGTTATCTCAGGTGACATTTATCTGTGACACCTCGCCTCGCTGGTTCTCACCACTTTGTCTGGGGTGAACTCCATCATTCTCCTCTCACCCTCCTCCCTTTTGTCTCTCAATCCATCCACCCATCCATCCCTCCATCCAGCTGGCCTGCCAGCCGTTCAGATTTCCTCCCAGGCTCAGAGTTGACTGTTCCTGGCTGCAGATGAGTGAAGTGATGAGAGATGGAGGAAGAGGACGTGCGGGGAAAAGATGGAGGGATGGAGGGATGCTGCTGCATGTTAATGTGCACGCAGCACACATTGTGCAGCACTCGCAACGTATGCAAATTACAGGCAACGCAGCACAAGCAGGGGGGTTGCTACAGGGACCCAGCTCATTAACCCAGCAGTTCTGGGACTCGGTGGATTACAGCGTTGGGCTGCCGTCGTTTGTTTGGTGAATGGTTGGAAACAAACAGAACACTGCAGCTGTTGGCCAGATGACGAGGTCAGATTGCTCAGGGGCTGCTTTGAGCAGGGGTCAAGTGTTGGAATAAAGGTTAATGCAGTCCTCTGTGGCTCAGTCGTATGTCGCACAGCAGCTGCGGCGGCAAAGGAAAATGTGGCTTTCTTCCTTTCTTCAAATTAATTAGACTTTCTCTCTGTCTTTCTGACAAGTTGGACCATCAGGCAGGTGGAAAAGGAGCGGAGCTTCGGCTGCTTGTTAAGGTTTTCTCTTGTTTTGCCTTCAAGGCCACAAGCAACAGAAGCTTCATCTGGAAACAAAAGGTTTCTTTAATCTGGAAATTTTTATATCCATATATCTCGTTTACGAAAGGTTGTCAACAGAAGACAAACTAAGCATTATGTCCTGAAGCCGAAGGCGAGAACTTGAGTTTGTGGAAGACAATTTTTGGGGGTTTTGTGTGCACATTGAATGCCTCACAAAAGCCTCCATTCACCTGCAACCACTTACCTTAACATATTTCTGCTGATTTTACGCTGCAAGATTATGTGTTTGACTTGCGAATTATATCATCTATCACACGAAGCCTCAGTAAAATACATTGATGTTTATGGTTACACTTACAATACTATACGTTTTAATAAACACTTTACATGAGTTTAAAATGAATCTGTTTCTAGCCTCACGAAGTGGATAGCGCTACTTCTGAACTAATAGTTGTTGGTGTGCTTTAGAGCAAAACATGTAGATTGTTTTTGCTGTTTCCCCTCCCCCCCATTTTATTGAATACTCCAGTGCACTAAAAGGAAACGTAGGTTTCAGTTTGAGTTTCACCTAAAGACTGTTAGGTTAGATCAAATCAGCAAAGTTGAGCTGATCTTAAATAACATTTCAACGTTCCCAACATCTCCTCTTTGTCTTTTTCCATCAGGTATGATGCTGGGAGGTGGATGTGGCAGAGAGCTCGCTAAGTGGATCATACATGGCCGGCCAGAAAAGGACATGTATGGATACGACATCAGGTATATGGGCATGCATTAAAAAGACTCTTCAATGGCAGTTTATCAAATGGCACCAGGAGCCACAGCTTGCATTGAAGTCTGGAGCAACTTCTTTACTGAGCACTAAATCCCTCTCCCTCCTTTCTCTAGACGTTTTCACAGTTCGCTGACAGACAACGCTCGCTGGATCAGGGAGAGGAGCCATGAGTCGTATGCAAAAAACTATTCTGTAGTGTTTCCCTTTGATGAGCCACTGGCCAGCCGTAACATGAGGAAGGACCCTTTCCATGAGGTACGGCAGTTACTCATTGTGTTTCACCAGCATTTACCGACTGACAAATAACTTTAACGAGTCCTGCTCCTGTTAGGATGCCTCGCTTGCTTCAAAGTTATGCTGGGTTTTTTGCTCCATATTGTGCTCCTTATGAGAAAGAAAATGAACAAAACGTTTCCTAAGAAGTTGGCCATCTGGGTTGGATTCAAAGTAAGCATTGACAAATAGTTTTGTAGGCCATTTCCTGTGCTGCCAGTTTGCCTGAGACTGACAGTGATGAAAAGCTGGCTCAGCTTATCACCTCCCTGGTTCAGTGAAACTTCTTATCTGGAATGTCATATTGCAGTTAGCAAATCATTTCACCCCTTTCAAGTCACCAGGGCATCTCCCGTCAACTTTGATTACTTCCACTATTTTCATAGATTGCATAACTGTCTTTCTTTTTTTTTTTTGTCTGTAATTTTGCCTTGTCAAGCACCGACACTGTCTCTCTCTCAGTGGGTTTGCCTCTCACATTTCTTCAGTCTTCTCTTTGCCTCCTCTCCGTCTCGTGGCTGATTCAAAGTGATGGCATAAGCGGCGCAACTTAGCTCTGCAGTGACTGCGTTTGCTAATGCGTGACTATAAACGATCCACTCGGCTCTGTTGGATAAGCTGTGGATGTTTTTCAGCTTAGTTTCTCTCCTTGGCCTAGCACAAACTCTTAATGGATTTCACCGCCATGTTTCACACACTAAAGAATCACTTAGAGACATACTTTTTTTAAATATTTATTTAACTTTCACTGTTGGACTATTACCCTTGCACTTGCATGCATGAGTTTTCTAGAACAAGTTATGGTCCCATAAGTTTCATTTGTGTCCCGAGCTTGATTTATTTAGCTTCCGTAACACTTTACATGCATACATAAAGCTTTCTGCAGAGGTTCATTAAACATGGTGCAAAATAAAAACAAAAAATGAAAACTAAAGGGGTGATGGAGGAGTTATTTAATGTAGTCTTTTGACTACATGAAGAATTAAAATTGTAGCAATGTAAAAAAAAAATGTTTGAAATTTAAATTCTAACTCTTATATTCTATACTTGACAACTTAGATCCTTGAAGACGGCTTAACCTGCCTTAATGGGAACACTTGTATCCATTTTTCAAATCTGAAATGACACAGTGTTGTAATGCACTACTGCTAGAAGGTATGCTTTAAGGTATGACCAGGCAGGCAAGCTGTCTCTGTGCAAATAATGAGACTTTCTACTTATAGGAGGCAATATGTGGTTATTTCAGACCATCAGCAAGTCATCTCTGACACTGCTGCTCGCACGCTTTCTCCACCTCGGTAGCACAGATGGTAAATATAGCTCAGCGTGGGACGTTTTGGCAAAAGACAGACAGCTTGATGCCTGCTCGGGGGAGAGCATAGCACAACATACCTACCAACTGTGGGCGACTGTCAGTTTTAGCAAGGAGGATGGAGAGTCTCGAAATATCTTATCTGAACAGTGTTCAAAAATTAGGAAGTGTTTCTCCTCTGTTTCTGCAGCCACTTGATGTAAACAAACGTGGTACAACATTTTATTTATTTATTTTTTATCAGTTCCTCCATTAGTGGAGAAACTTCATTATCTCTTCTAAATGCAACAAATGTCAGCGACTGTCTGCAGTAATCATTATGTCTGCATTTGTGTTGGATCAAGTTGATGGACTGGCCTTTTGTTTCATTAGCTTGTTGATGCAGACAGATCAATAGACTCAAGGAATAACATGTTGTTAGAGCAGCTCTAAGTTACTAAAATTGGTCCTGGTCTGTAATCTTGCTATTGCAAGAGATAGATGGATCAATTTTGTGCAAATAATTTCCTTCAGAAGTCATATAAAAAGTAAATAGACTCCAGTTACTGTTTTGTGAGGGCCTCTGAGGTTTACTAGAGAATATAAGTGAGCATGAAGACCAAGGAGCGCCGCAGAAAGGCCAAGGCGAATGTTGTGGAGAGGATTGTAGCAGGGTTAGTGGCCCAGTCAAAGTCCGGATCTAAATATAATTGGAAGTGTGTGACAATACTTAAAAAATTGCTGTTCAGCAACCCAGTCTGTCTGAACATTTAGTTGGATTTCACTTTGTGCAACAGATTAAAGAGGGTTAAATGCATATGCATGTATTTTCATTTCACTTTGAAATTACTCTCTGCTTCGTGTTGACATGTCCCATGAAATTCACTATTTCAAAATCAACAATATTTTGTTTTTTTAACCACGGACTTGTATTTTCAGAAAACACTGACCGGTGGATTGACAATATTCTCAGCTTTGTTTGCCCTCTGTGCATTCTGTAGCGATTTGATTTGTTTTTGTGTTTATTTCATCACTCCAGGTGCTGACAGAGCAAGGTTGCATGTTTCAAGAGAGGCATGGTTGGGAGAGACCCGGCTGGTTCAACAAAGACGGGCCGGCTCCTGTGAGGCTCCTGCAACAAACACACACTACCACAGACTTACTGCTTGTAGTTGCCATACTTTAACACTGTGTTTGCATGTCTTGTTAAAAAAAAGCCTAAAAAGTACGATTACTACGGAGCTTACAACATTAGGAATAACGAGAACTACAAATACAAAGAACTCCTGGGCAAAGAGTACACCTTCGACTTCCCTCCGCATCACGATGTGGTAAGTTACAGAGAGCAGAAGTGTTTGTGTCTGGAGTCAGACAAAGTTCAACGGCTTGTTTTCTCTGTCAAAACACAAGTTAGTCTGATGAGTGTGAATGTTTACTTTTCAGTCCGCAGAGCAGAAAAATTGAAAGACTGAATGAATTTCTGTCATAAACAAGTAATGGTGGTGGGTACCAGCAGTGGCTTTAATGGTACATAAAGAGCTTTAAACCTCCAAGCTAATTTAGCAACTTGACAGCCACTCTGGGAGTGAAATCTGTGATTTTTGCCTTTAACTTCACTCCCCTGATGAATTCTGCTCTTTGTGATGCAACCCCGATTTAAGCCTTCTTCAAAATAAGAAGATGGCGACGTATTTTTTATTATTTTTCTTTAGCGAGTGTGTTGAACACGTGTGCTGAGTTTTGCTGCTTCCGATGCAGATTAAGAGTGAGTGTCTCTCATGCCGACACGACGTCGCCGTGTTTAACATGTCCTACTTTGGGAAGTTCTATCTCACCGGACCAGATACCAAGAAAGCAGCCGATTGGCTCTTCTCGGCTGATGTCAACAAGAAGCCAGGTTAGTCGGGCAACTGTTTGAAGAAGCACACGTGCACACACACGCACACACACACTGCTTACCTGAATGAAATGAATGATTCATGACGAAGCCTCTGCAGAATTTGATGACATGCTTAGGGAGTGATTCAGCCCTTTCATTCAGGTGTGTTGGTTTCTGGGACACAACAAAAACATGTAAGACACCGGCCCTTTAAGGCTAGAGTCAGATAGAGCGGGGTTATGCATGAACTGTTTGTATTTGTAAAACTCTTGGTTTTTTTCTAACTTAAAATGAAGTTTGCACGTGGATTAACGAAGCAAATTATGCAAAAAAAACAAAACGATTTTTTTTATTTATTTTTACATGGTTGCAGACAATGTGGAGAAACAGTTCTCCACCATTATGAACAAAGCACTGTAGAGCTGCATGTGTCTGTGCAAGGCTATCCTGCCATGTTTCCTTTAAATCCAATATCTCATACTTCTCTGATCATTTTATCTCGGAGGCAATTACGCTACATCTCCCTCCAAGCCTCGTTAGATAATCCTCTTTGAACACATTTGTATTTGTTAACAGTAATCACTCTTTTAAATTACAGCTGATGAAGGCATCAGCTGCACATATTTATCTGTGACTGCAAACATTAACTCTTTTGGGAAATGGATGAGCATTAAAAAAATGGTGTCACTTGTAATTAGTTATAGAGTTATTTGATTTTGGAGGTTTTCTTGATTCTTTATAACAAATGTCTTTGCAGTAAAATATGCCACCTATGCTTTGGCACATATTAGAGTCATCCGGCTGTTACTGAACTTGTTTCCTGTCAAGTGGTGTGCTGTAATAATAATTAAAAAAAAAAAAAAATTGGTCATACATATATTCAATAGAGAACATCCAGTTGCAGAGTTATTTATGGTATGATGCTCTTAGGAGAGAAAATAAACCATGGATTTGGAGTGATTTTTGAGGGAAAGTAAATATTTAAACTCTGAGCTTGCACATATTCAAGGCTGCTCATATATATAGTGCATTACATAATTCTTCATATTCATTGAATTTTTTTCACATTTTGCCTCAAATTTTGATGCATGATTTCTTGCAATAGCTGCCCAACAGGCTTTCTTCCGGGTTTAACCTGCGTTTCGCTCCATCCATTTTCTCACTGACTTCGACCAGCTTCTTCTGTGGTCCTGCTAAAAAAAAGCAACTCTGTCGCACAATGCCGACTCCACAAAGTTTTACCATCAGTACGGCTTGTTGAAGCTCATGTGCACTGTTAGTTTGGCGCTTTAGCCAAAAAGTTGGACTTTGCCCTGATGTGACCACAGATCTTATGGTTGCTGTTCCCCACATTGCTTTTGTCAAACTGCAAATGGGACTTCTTGAGTCTTTCTTTCAATAATGACTTTATTTCTTTTCCACAGAAAACTAGATTTATGAAGTGCCTCACTCATAGTTTTCCCACCTGAGCTGTGAATCTCTCCAGTTCCTCCAGAGTTATTATAGGCTTTTGACTATTTCTCTGGTTAATGCTTTCATTTCCTGACCTGTCAGCTTAAAGTTACAGTACATAACTTTAAAAAATATGTTTTTTTTCTTGCATATTTGTTAAAACTATCACTTTGTCGAGATAGTAAAGTATAAGCCAGATAATCTGTGAAAAAAATCGAACTCTTTTGTCTTCTCCCAGTGTTTCCAGTACTAGCTGCATAAATACACCGCTTAGCAAATACATAAAAAACATATTTTTGTGAAAGGTATGTACTGTAGCTTTAAGTGAAGATATGCCACTCTTTCCATTTTCAGATTATGGATTGGTATGTGCTCTGTGAGAACGTAGAATCGTGTTTTCTGACCTAAGTAAAGGGGCTAAATGCAAATTGACACTTCTAATTTTTATTCTTTTACTTAACAGGCATGCACTATTTTGTGCTAGTCTGTCACCATAGATCCAAATAAAATGCATTGAGGTTCATGTTGACCATGTGGTGACTTTTAAGTAAGATCAATAGGCATGAATGCTGTTGCAAAGCACTGTAAATAAGTATTCACTGACAGGTGTGTGTGCATGTTTCAGGTTCCACTGTGTATACGTGTATGTTGAATAAAAGAGGAGGGGCGGAGGCCGACCTGACGGTGAGCAGGCTGGAGCCGGGCGCTGCCAAGCTGCCGCTGGCGCCGCAATCAGATGGTGAGAAACAGACTGACGTCCTCGTTTTGAGGAACTTCACCTGAAAACACAAACCAAAGAACTGAGCCGAAAATGTGAAGAGATGTGAGGGAAGAAAGAACATGGGCAGAATTATTACTTATTGCAATCACAAGTGAATATCTTTACCCAAATGCCAGCGTTAATGAAAGGAACTTGAGTAGGATAATTTTCTAAGCTTCCTCGATTTATTCCATCAGCACGAGTAAACAGGAATGAAAAAGTCAAGTTAAACAGTTGGATGTGATCACATCTGCATTGTTATATTGTTTAAGATGTTAGCTGGCGTCTTCATACGACATATAACGAGAAGCTAACTAATCATGTTGTATTTTTCTGCTGGCTAACTGTGCCTAATCTTCTCAAATTACTGGCCTCTCTTGCTCCAGGTGATGCATACTACCTTGCCATTGGAGGCGGAGTCGCCGAACACAACTGGAACCACATTCGGACGGTTATTCAGGACCAAGGCTTCCACTGCCAGCTGACGGACCACTCCGAAGACATGGGGATGATCAGCATCCAGGGGCCTAAGAGGTGGGACGAGGAAAGAAGGTGGAACGGTCATCATTTATCCCTACTTAAGAGAATGGGGAAATCATAATGTAGGTCAAATTTATGATTTAGTCATTGAACAGTAAAGATGGCTAAACATCACAGATACGCTATTTTGTTTTTTTTTAATTAACAGCATGTGAGCTTGTGCTCAGAGTAGATAAGCTGCAGAAAAGACGACTGGACCAGGATTTCACAGTACAGATGGACAGTAACCTAAAACAGCAACAAAAAAAACATCTTATAGTGAGGCTAGAATCATTTGCTTGATCTCAATCTCAAAGAGCTACAGCACAGAAGGAAACGCTTCAGCATTTAGTAATGTAGTGCAAAGGAGGAACTAATCCACTGATCTACATGCCAGCAAAACATTCTCATCAGGGTAATTTTGTGAAACGACAGGGTGGTGGGCGGGTTTGGTGCCCGTCTCCAGGCGGGCTGCCAGCCCATCATAGGGCAAAAGCACCTCAGTTAAATTTATTTTCTATGAATTATTCAGAGTACCAATAACTCTGGCACCAGTTACTTTTGTAAAATAAATATAAACAAAATTGCAGAGAATTTTTGTAAATATTTAATGTAGAAATACGTAATTGAATTAAAGATTTAATAAAAGATTAATATATTTTAAGATTTTTTTCCCTTATATTTAACATTCATCATGATGAATGTCCAGAAACCGATCAGTTTTTTTTATTTTACTGATAAAACCTGCCAAGTCCATGACATGAAAGGCGTTTTAAAGGCTTGTTTCCTGTTCTTTGTTACTCTCTTCCTTCTTTGTTGTGTTTTTCACTCATTGTGAACATCTCCTCCATTGTAAATGTGTTTTCATCACATTGAATAAAGTTTCACGTGTAGAACTGTCCTTGTGGTTTAACCGAAGCCGTAACCTTTGGTTGGTGACTCGCTCAGGTAAAAAAAAAACAGAATGCTGTGAATAACCGGTAGCCCATGTTTGTTCTGACTTCCTCCAGCATTTCTTTGTTTTTTTTACTCGCAGAGCAAGCAAGGCCAACTTTACTTTTTCTTGATCCCATTCTGTAACTTTTCCTTCTCTCTCACCTCCTCTCCTCCCCACTTTTCTGCCCTCTGCCTTTCTTCTTCCCGCTCACGGAGCTGCAGGGTCCGTCCACCCCTGTTCTCTGTGTGGGATTTGTCGATATCTTTTCCTGGAGGCCTTTCTTTTTTTTTTTTTTTTTTTTTTTTTTTACCCTCTGTTCTCCTCGGTTCCTTTTTTTTCTCCCTCTGCGGTGATCGAATAGATCTCCTCGTTTGTCTTCTCTCACTGTTCCTCGCTTCCTGCTTGGTCGACCTATTCTGAGTCACCTTGCCCCCCTGCTTTCATGGTCTTCCTCACTGATCTGCTTACGTCAAGCCAGGAATAATTATTTCAATCCCGACTGTAGTCTAGCAACGACAAGTCGCTTCATTTGTTTGTGGATCTTTTTTTCTAACTGTGTGTACGAGATTGCAGTTTGTGTTGTGTCTCTCTCTCTCTCTCTCCTTCTCTCTCTTTTTCTCTTTGCCTCTCCAAAGTACCATATTCATGTCTTGCCTGGTTGAGGAATTTCATAAAATTACTCTTCCTCTGTCATGTTTTTGCTAACTGATGAAGCAAATGGATCCCAGTAAAGCTTGAGGAGCATGAAGATGTGTTCACAGTGTTTACAGAGATGTGTTGGGGTTTTCTCTCCCGATGACGTCTCACTTAAGTTCCCCAATGAGAGGAGTCTTAGATTTTCTTTCTCTCAGCTTGGCACCATGTTTCAAAGTGTGAAACTAATACTCAGCCGCTTGTTTAGGTAATTATTAACAGTATGCGTAATTGATAGAATCATGAAACATCCCGTGTGTATGCAGAGCTGAGAAGTCAATGCTAAATGGACAAAAAAAAAGAAATAAACGACAAGAGCCTCCTTTGCTTCCTGGCTCTTTAATTCTCTTGAGAAAGTTTGAGAGCACAGTTTGAGGTAAACATCAGCCCGTATTAGCTCAAGAATAAAGCTTTATATTTGTCCATGCCCACATCCTTCTATATCTGTTACATCACTTGCTTTCTAGAAAAAGGGACTTGCACAAAGCTGCAGAAGCAGAACCTCAGTCATTCCACAAATATCCACACGCCTGGCTTCCTGCCACACCATGGCAAAAAAAAAAAAAAAAAATCCTTAAAAAGATGTTTTCTTTGTCTTCCCACTCATAAGCATATGAGGCCAAGAGAGCAAAAATAAAATATTTATTATTTTGTGTTGACTCATCATTATGTAATATTGATTTCAGTGTAGCTTGCAGGAGGAACGATTGCGTATTTTCTCTTAATTCCAGTGTTTCCTGTTTGAGAGACATTTTAGTGACATAGAAATCAAATAATAACTCTCTTTAATAATAAACTTACAGCTTAGAATTTACAACTTTGTGCATTTTTTTTTTTTTACAATTGTTTTGCACATCCTGTTTTTAGTTTTACACCAACTTTGTAAATCAGATAGCACAGAACATATGCAGATTGTGAAAATGCCCATTTAGTCCAGCAGATGGTACCAATTTGTGCATATTGTTGTATCAGATTGCAAATTTTTTTATCAGCCACAAACGGTGAGGAGCAGAAGTGATGAAGAACACAAAGAAGAGTGGAAGAAGAAAAATATTTTATAATTTGGCTCCATCTAGACCTAACAAGGTGCATGTGCCTTAACTAACTGAGTTTGAAAAGTTTAAGGACTCAAATGGTGTAACTCTGCTGTACTTTATTTAGCCTTTCTGTTATCTGCTGGAAATATTGCTCTCCTCTTTCTTGCAGCCTGAATGAACCACAGATGTGTTATGAAAATGAGGGTTCCTTTTAAATAGATTCTTATGTCAAGTTTCTTCTCTTGCTTTTGTCTTTAAACACTGAACTAAAAGTGGAAATGACTAACGTCAGCCATCAGCAATGATTGCGAAATGATAGTGGTTTGAAATCGTGTGTTAAACGATCAGAAACAGATTGGATTTTTACATTTCTAACTGACTAGTCACCAGTCGGAGATGTTGACCAAATAGTCACCAATTCATCTTGCGAGCTGATTTCAATGTACTTCTCTTCTGTTTACTCAGTCCAGCAATTTTTGGTATCTGACTTTACATCTAGCTTGAGAATGAAAAATAAAACACAATCCCATGTTTGCGTACACTTGGCACATCTGATTTGGTCAAACATAGGTTGAATGACTAACATAGTTTGTGACTCTGTTTTTTTTTTTTTTTGTTTTTTTTTTTGCCTTAACAGTCGACAAGTACTGCAAGAAGTTTTGGATGCAGATCTCAGCAACGAAGCGTTTCCCTTCTCTACCCATAAGCTTGTGAACGCAGCAGGATATCAGGTGAAAACGCTAAGAATCACACTCGGTCATCGGCACCAGTCGTATGCTATTGAGTAAAAGTTTATTACTTTTGAGATTTGCTGAATAGAGATTCCTTATTAATTGTGTTGAGGGAGAATAAATGATAGTTCTTACTAACATGTCAAATCAGTCCACATATGAACTGGAAACCCCAGTTTAATTAAATGGGACATTTGCAGTGGTTTATAATTGAATTGTTAAAGTTTTATACCTGCACATAGCTGTATACGTTACTCCTATTGAGGCTTAATGTGTTTTTTAAAATGTACTCTTATGATTTTGGCATCAAAATAAAAAAGACAGATTATTATAGATAATATAATGGATAGTAGCAATTACTATATTGCACTATTTTAGCAGGGATGATTGTGGCTTTCTGTTACATTCCAGTCTGTCGCATACTCGTTTAATAACTCTGTAAGGTGTCTGTGATTTGACCTGTGATTTCTGACCTTCTGATTAAAAGGAGAGAGCGTTGCACTCATTACAGACTCATGCAGCGGCACATATCGGCACACTCAACCTCAGTCTGTTTTACTTTCTCTTGCATAAATTATGCAAGGTCCCGGCGATTGCGATCTGCATCTCCATTCGTCGCTGCAGGAGCGTGTGGGGATGTGTGCCGAGCGAGGCGCTTGTGTTGTCTTCCAGCTGGTTGTTGGCCTTGTCTCGGTGACAGTTTAATGGTTGCAGTGGTGTTTGTGTGAGCAGAGCTCTTCCTGCCCCTCCGCACCCCCTCACAGCTCATTAGACTCTCTCTCTCTCTCTCTGTCTGTTTCTGTTTTCCTAACTTGTCAGCGGCAGCAGTTGCGCAAGCATACACATTTATCTGTATAATTTCATGTCATGCTTCTGTCTGTATGTTTGTTTTTTGGCTGCCTGGTGCATGAGTGTGGTGGTGTGTGAGGCATGCATGCATCTGGTGTGTGTTAGGGTCTTATGCTCAATGTACTAACCTACACTGAGCTTGGAGATGTGCATATGGTGCCTGCAGTGATCCCTGACTGGACAGATGGACTTTCTGTCATTGCACCAACTGCGAGAACCGTTGGAGAAGTTTCCTTTCCTCATTTTTTTTTTTGTCCCCTTCCACATTTCCTTTCCTGCTCATGTGGTGTGTACTATCTTCTCCTGTCAATATTTTTGCAAAAATTTTCCTTACCCTCTTCCCTGACTCTCATTCATTTCTTTTTCTGTTTCTTGCTTTTCTTTGTCCAACTAGATATGCGAATGAGCGCAGATGAACCCTCGTTGTGGCAGCTTGATTCTCCACACAAATACCTCCTCCTCCGTAACCCTCTTTTCTACGCGGTCTGTCATCCAGGTGCGAGCAATGCGTCTGTCATTTGTCGGAGAGCTCGGCTGGGAGCTCCACATTCCCAAAGACTCCTGTGTTCCCGTCTACCGTGCTGTCATGGCCGCCGGTGCAAAGCGTGGCATCATCAATTCAGGCTACAGAGCAATCGACTCTCTCAGCATAGAGAAGGGTAACGTAAACAACTTAACATATTGAAATTCAGCTCAAATAATGATTTCCTCTCAACATTTGTTTCGCTGCAAAGTCGGTTTTAGGAGGGGAGGTCTTGATGCTCATAAGCCCGTATTCCCGGTTTCTTAATTAAAATTTCTTCAGGGTACAGACACTGGCACGCTGACCTTCGGCCTGATGACACACCTTTGGAGGCGGGGCTTGCCTTCACCTGCAAACTGAAGAGCTCCATCCCGTTCCAGGGCCGGGAAACGCTGGAGAGACAGAAGGAAGAGGGGCTGAGGAGGCGTATCGTCTGTTTCACCATCGATGAGTCAGTAGATACTCTGTCTGAAGGCTGCAATTAAGCCTTCAGCAAAATGGGAAAAAAAGTTTCTTTTTTTTAATTTTTTTTTTCTTTGCTTAAAATTAATATGCAGACATGAAAATGATGGAAAATTGCAGTATTTCATTGTAGTATTTTATGTCGGTTATAAAAAATTATTTTTATTGCTGTACTTTGTTTGATCATCCATCCGTAGTTGGAGCCTTAATCTGTAGAAATATCTTCCTTAGGTTGATAATGATTTTTTTTTTTTTTTTGTATCATGTTTTTCTAAATGAAAGGAAGCGCAGAGAAATCTGGAACTCTCAGTTAGGAAAGCATCAGCCTAAAATTAAGTTATTACTCCTTTTCACAGATTCTCAACTTTT